GCCCTGCAAATGCTGCGGTGATCACGAAATTGTGTGTTTTACTTGAGTTTTCAGCCCTCGACGCGAAAAATGTAAACACAGAATGTGTTCAGTCACACGGCCCCTTACAGGCGCCGTCACCATATTTATACCCTGGGCTGGTTTAATTTAGGAAGTTGTGATTTGAAGTTTTGTTGGTGCAAGCAGGGGGGGGAGTCTTTTGCTTCAGGGTTTGCCTGGGTTTGGTGTTTACCAGGGTTAGGGTTTAGGGAAGGAGCAGGTTTTGGGGAAGCTGGTAGGCAAGCTTCTACCATAATTACCTTCGCTTGCAGCGGATGCGAACAGTGCCAGGCACAACAGCGCGAGTCTGTGGACAAGCTGGCTTGTCTTGGAAGATGTCCAAAGTGGTGTGTCCGCCCCTAAACCCTGCGCCCCTTTTGTACCCCAAATAAACCCTAAACCTAAACCCTTTTTAAATCCTTATCCTTATCTACAGGGCAAAGAGGGCATCCCTGTGTTTCGGAGCCCCCCGAGATGTGGTCACGGATATTGAGCACCTAAGCTTAAATCTTGGGCTCCCTCCCGCCCCCCCCCCCCCCCCCCCCCCCCCTCCCCCCCCCAAACCCAAAACCCTAAACCCCCAAACCCTAAACCTTTAAAACCTAAGCCCTAAACCCGAAACCCGAAACGCAAAACCCAAAACCCTCTCTCATCTAGCACCAAGAAGGTTTAGACTGAACCCGTTGGCCAAGCTTCGCCACCAAGAAGCCCCCCCAAACACTATTTACATCTCAGAAACCTGGGCCACATAAGCAATCACAGACCCCCGAAGGCCAGCCAGTAAGCTAGTAAGCCCAGTCCAGCAAGCCCAGCAAGTCTAGTAAGCCCAGTACGTCCAGAAAGTTCAGAAAACCTCCAGCCCTAAACCTCAAACCCTAAACCCTAAACGCTAGCTCGGCCAGGCTGAGACCTCATGACATGTGGCGAGCTTAGGGGGGGGGGGGAGCGCCCCAAACTCCCCAATCCAAGCCCCTAAAGCGCAATGGGATCGGCGTCCGCTGATAAGAGAGCAGGCTCTTGCAAATGGAAAGTGGCTGCAGTGGCCCAACGCAACAACTACGGGTGTTGCCGACAAAGCCAGCCCTTGGCTGAATCGGCATGCCATCGAGATCCTCATCAGAGTGTGGGTTATGTATAGCCCTACTCCTATATCATGGTTGCGAGAGGAGGATGGGTACCATGTGCACGTTCAGAGTGTAGACAACCCCAAACCCCAAGCCCTAAACCCTAAACCCTCCAAATTATAAAACCTAAAACCCTGAACCCCAAACCCTACAAATTATGAAACCGAAGCCCTAAACTCTAAACCCTAACCCCTAGCATATATATATATATATGCCCTACACCCTAAACCCTATCCGTGCATGGCCACGCAGTTTTGTGCAATGCTGCTGTAGACTATTTCAAGTGTGTGATAGGTGAAGCATGTGCACTGGTTGCTGGTGGCAAAGGATGACCAAGACAAGTGCCTCACCGAAAGCCAGCAGTTTAGGGTTTAGGGTTTAGGGTTTAGGGTTTAGGGTTTAGGGTTTAGGGTTTAGGGTTTAGGGTTTAGGGTTTAGGGTGTGGGGTTGTCTACAACCGAGTTAGCAAGTGTAAGCCCGTACGGCTGTCGGTATATTGACCCTGACCCTCAACCCTAAACCCCTAAAGACCCCAGACCCCTAGAAAACCCCGAAAACCCTGCACCAACGCCTAAACCGCCAAACCCCAAACCCCAAACCCTAGACCCGTAGGCTGGAGGCTTAGACCTTAAACGTGGGGAACCAAAACCCAAAACCCAAAACCCTGAACCCTAAACCCTAAACCCTAAACCCTAAACCCTAAACCCTGAACCCTAAACCCTAAACCCTAAACCCTAAACCCTAAACCCTAAACCCTAAACCCTAAACCCTAAACCCTAAACCCTAAACCCTAAACCCTAAACCCGAAGCCTCACCCTCAAACTCGGCTCAGGGCACCCGAGCACTCCGAGATGGAGCGCCGTGGCGCAGGCCCCGCCCAGGGGGTTTCCGGGATTAAGGGTTCTAAGGCCCTAAACCCTAAACCCTAAACCCTGAACCCTTAACCCTAAACCCTAAACCCGAAACCCTAAAGAGACATTGTACGGAGCCCTCAGCCAGAAACCCCATAAAGCCTTACAATTTTTCATTTTAAGCCCTGCCAGCCGTAGAGCCGCAACCTGAAGCCTATAAACGCTATAAGCCCTAGAAGCCGTTCAGGGTTCAGGGTTTAGGCTTAGGGTTTAGGGCGTAGGGTTAGTTGGGTTTAGGGTTCAGGGTTTAGCGTTTAGGGTTAAACCCTATAAACCCTAAAGGCCCTACAAGTTGCCTCCCAACCTTGCAAAGTACCTAGCAAGTACCTATACACCCCATAACCCTACCCTACAAGCCCTACAAAACCCTAAACCCCAAGTTGTGCCAAGCCCAGGCCGGTTCTTGCAGCCAGAGAGTCCACCACCCCCGCCGCCGGGCAACGGCCCCGAGACGAGGGGGCCACCACCCCCACCGACAGGGTCACCAGACGCCGGTCTTTGAAGGGTTTAGGGTCTAGGGTTTAGGGTTTCGAGTTTAGGGTGTAGGGTTTTGGGAGCTGGGGGGTTTGGGGTTTGGGTGTAGAGTTTGTCCGGTTCAGGGTTTGGGGTTGAGGGTTGAGGGTTTAGGGCTGCTCGTGTTTTGGGGTTCGGGGTGGAGGGTTTGAAAGGGGCTTCGGGGTGGTGCAGAGTTTGCAGGGGTGGGGCTGAGGCCGTTAGGTGAGAGGCTTGGGCTTTAGGTTTTTTGGAGTTAAAGTTTAAGGTTTTAAGGGTTTACGGTTTCTAGGGTTTAGGGTTAGGGTTTAGGGCTTTGGGTATACGACCCTTCAGAAGGCACGTCTCACCCTCACCCCAATTGCCAAGAGAACACCCTAAACCCTAAACCCTCAACCTTCAACCCTCAACCCTCAACCCTCAACCCTCAACCCTCAACCCTCAACCCTCAAGCCTCAACCCTCAACCCTCAACCCTCAACCCTCAACCCTCAACCCTCAACCTTCAACCCTCAACCCTCAACCCTCAACCCTCAACCCTGAACTGAACCCTAACCCCCCAAGGATCGAGGGGCGAGAGGCCCGCCGGGTCCCCCGGGCCCGCCCGGCCCGCCCGGCCCACCCGCTGGGGTGGAGCTGCTACGCAATGGCAGCTCAGATGCGAAGGTTAGGGTTTAGGGTTTAGGGTTTAGGGTTTAGGGTTTAGGGTTTAGGGTTTAGGGTTTAGGGTTTAGGGTTTAGGGCTCGCTTACTGATCCCTAAACCCAAAACCCTATCAATAAGACAATGAACCCTAAAGCCTAAACCCTGAACCCTGAACCGTGAACCTTGAACCCTAAACCTTAAGCCCAAAACCCTAAGGTCCCTCGGCTGTTTTTTTGTTTCTTTTTTATTGTTCTTTTGATCCGGCAGCCCCCCTAAACCCTACCCTAAACCCTAACCCTGAACCCTGAACCCTAAACCCTAAACCCTAAACCCTAAACCCGAAACCCGAAACCCGAAACCCTAAACCCTAAACCCTAAACCCTAAACCCTAAACCCTAAACCCTAAACCCTAAACCCTAAACCCTAAACCCTACAAACCTGTGGTAGACATAGTCAGGGTAAGGCGGAATAGCACTCAAGGCTGACATATGGCCTAGGGTTTAGGGTTTAGGGTTTAGGGTTTATGGCCCGAAACCCTGAACACCAGCATCTTTCTTCAGGGCACACATAGGTTTAGGGTTTGGGGTTTTGGGTTTAAGGTTTCGGGTTTCGGTTCAGGGTCTGGGTTTAGGGGTTAGAGTTTAGGGTTTCGGGTCAGGGCGATGGATGCTCTTATTGTGATACATGGGGCTTTTCATGAGTCCTTTCATGCGGTAACTTGTCAATGGTGGATTTCCGGTCCATCTGTTCACTCACTGTATTAATACTGTTATAAGCTCGCGCATGAATAGTATTGCTGCGAGCGAACTAGTGAACAAGGACAAGCGCTCGAATATCATATCAAAAGGCCCCGTAAAAAAGATAAACGGAATTGACCTGAAATATACTACTCAGGTCGGGCCCAATAATTCTATCGTGGGGCCTAATAATTGTTGAATTCTTAGGCTTTTTCAAGTACACGCAAACCACACACCATTCGTGACCAAACGACCAATATAAGTAGTATACAACAAGGGTCTAGTATCTGCTACAGGAATAATATGAATTCTCTCCTATGAATAACAAAAGTACAACTACTCTCTTTACATTGACCCCTTCATTGCTTGTCGATTTTCAGTATCTTCATGAGCCAATATGACACGTGCAAATCCAGGAGTTCGATTGCACTCTATTGGCTTCGCTGTGAATCTTTACAAACCTTGGTATCTTATGATAGAACTTTCTATCTTATGAGGCATTCCCTCCACCGGTGCAGGAGACTTCTGCTCCCAAAAGCACCAATTAAGGAATAGAATGTGAAACCCAGGAACCAATCCAAAGCAAAACATATCTTACTTTTTGGTATTTTCAGTGGCGGGACTGCGCCATCCCTTGACAAGCGCTCAATCGCGGCCGAGAAGTGCCATGCGGCACTCCTTGCATGTTTGCGGCTTAGAGTTCAGGGTTTAGGGTTTAGGGTTTAGGGTTTAGGGTTTAGGGTTTAGGGTTTAGGGTTTAGGGTTTAGGGTTTAGGGTTTAGGGTTTAGGGTTCGCCAACGCATGGTACGGCAAGAGCGAGGCATAATGTAGCTTCTGCTGATTCCTGGAAGCCCATTTTGGTCCGTGGAAATTTGAATGGTCTAGTTGGAGGTTCAGGGTACTTCTAACACAATGAAATGTGTAGGTGCAACTCACTTATAAGCCCCATAAGTACCCTGTTAGGGCTATAGTTGGGCCATAAGTGCAGCTATAATTGGGTTGCCAAGTACCCTGAACCTCGAAGGACAAGCCTTGTTGGAGCCTGCAGCGCCATGGCGCCAGTCGTTGACAAGTGGCAGCAAATCAGCGCAGACATCGCGGAGCTGGTTTCACAGAGCGAGGTGCTGCGACTGGTTCGGGACATGGGATACCTGACGGTGATCCGCGAGGATGCTCAGAAGAAATACCTGCTGAACCTCTTCCACACAATGAATGCGAAACAAGAACGCGAAGAAGGATGGAAGGTAGCAGGCATCTACCTGGATGGATTGGACCAGTTTGTGCAGAAAGCCGTTCATGGACCGCGGACCGTCCCAATAGCAACACAGGCAGAAGCAGAGCGGACCGTTGAGGAGTATTTCGGTGGCCTGCGCGAAGCCCAACTCGGAGACTACAAGATGTGGGTCCGGAGGCTTGAGATGTTGTTGAGTAACTTCGTAGCTGAATGAGTACACTTTCTACACTTTTTGGGATGCTAGAATCCCCTATAGAGCTGAAAGTGTACAGCATTTTGGGGCTTATGAACTCAGCAACTAAGGCAAGGAAAGTGTCGCCAAGCTGACCACGCAGGTGTGGTTGGAGATGATCGACACTGAGGAGCTCGACTGCATTGCGGCGCCCTTGGATTTTGCGCAACCTTAATTGAAATCCCGTTTAGGGTTTAGGGTTTAGGGTTTCGGGTTTAGGGTTCAGGGGTTTAGGGTTTAGGGCAACCTTAGAGAGCTTTGCACCTTTGCTTCTCTTGAGGATAAGCTATCCAAAGACGCCGAAGACGAACAGAATCAACTTTTTGTGTGTTTATGTGTTTAGTGTTGCTACGCCACATGGGAGTCGTCCGCTCAAGTGAGCGCCTTTTACGCATCAGGTTTGATACTTCGCAGCAGCTAAGTGGTTTCGCGTTTAGGGTTTCGGTTAGAACCACGTGGATGTGGCGAAGCCCATATGGCCAGTCCTCTACAGCACAGTCCCTATGTCAAAGAATCCGCGTTGGACCCTGCGTTCTACCCGAGCCCTGGCCTCAACCCTAAACCTTAAACCCTAAACCGCAAAAACGCCGAAGCCACAGCAGCCCTTGAAATACTCAAGCCCTAGCCCAAGCCCTTTAGCCCTTAGACTCTAAATATAGAAAAATGCCCAAGCCCTAGCCCCAGCCCCAACCCTTAAACCCTAAGACCCTAAGACCCTAAGACCCTAAGACCCTAAGACCCTAAGACCCTAAGACCCTAAGACCCTAAGGCCCTAAGACCTTAAGACCCTAAGACCCTAAGACCCTAAGACCCTAAGACCCTAAGACCCTAAGACCCTAAGACTAAACCCTAAACCCTAAACCCTAAACCCTAAACCCTAAACCCTAAACCCTAAACTCACGCAAGCCCTGGCCTAAACCCTAATCCGTAAACGTGCCCCGGCCACCACCCCCCCTCCCCCCCCCAGCCCTAAACCCTAAATCCTCAACCCAAAGCTCTAGACCCTAAACCCTAAACCTTTAAACCCTAAACCCTGGACCCTAAACCCTAAACCCAAAACCCTCAAGCCTCAAGCCTCAAGCCTCAACCCTAAACCCTCAACCCTCAACCCTCAACCCTCAACCCTCAACCCTCAACCCTCAACCCTCAACCCTCAACCCTCAACCCTAAACCCTAAACCCAAACCCTAGACCCTAGACCCTAGACCCTAGACCCTAGACCCTAAACCCTAAACCCTAAACCCTATACCCTAAACCCTAAACCCTAAACCCTAAACCCTAAACCCTAAACCCTAAACCCTAAACCCTAAACCCTAAACCCTAAACCCTAAACCCTAAAACCCAAACCGCCAGCCTCAAACAGGGGACTGAAAGCATGCATAGACTACAGAAGGCCCTAAACCCGAAACCCGAAACCCTAAACCCTAAACCCTAAACCCTAAACCCTAAACCCTAAACCCTGTATAGACTACAGAGGGCTTGGCCTTTTTCGTTGTTCCAGCTCGCAGCTCGGAGATGCTGAGCTGCCTGAAATTTGTTTTGAGACCTCGTTTTTTAGGGGGTTTAGGGTTTAGGGTTTAGGGTTTAGGGTTTAGGGTTTAGGGTTTAGGGTTTAGGGTTTAGGGTTGAGGGTTTCGGGTTGAGGGTTGAGGGTTTAGGGTTGACGGTTAAGGGTTTAGGCGTTAGGCTTTGGGGTTTAGGGGGTTTAGGGTTTATGGCTTAGGGTTTATGGGCTCCAGGCTTTGGGGTTTCGGGTTTAGGGGGTTTAGGTTTAGGGTTCAGGGTTCAAGGTTCAGGGGGTTTAGAGTGAAAGTGCCGACGTATAGGGGCTAAGCTCCTTCCTGCGCTACAGTCCGGTCATAATACATTTTTAGCGGACAGATCGGCGGAGCCAATGAACAGCTAGCCGTTCTTCTTAGCATTCAAGAAACAGGCGCCACCTGTCCCAGATGGTCCGATGACAGACCCTCTGGATTCGACTCTCGATGCATATTCCTGGCACGAAAACCCCCCCAACCCAACCCGGGTTCCAAGATGCACCTTTTGCCTGTGTTATAGGGTAGCGGGTTTAGGGTTAGGGTTTAGGGTTTAGGGTTTAGGGTTTAGGGTTTAGGGTGAGGGAATACTTGCAGCTTCTCACATGCAAGCCTTGCTGATGCCGCACCGGCACACAAACTCCCCTCGAATGGAGAGTCCTTTGTGCACTTCAATGGGTGGGCTTCGCACCATTCAGGACAATGGTGGCCAATGCAGAGACACATCACTTGGAGGTTCATGGGTACTTACAAGTAGGGTTAAAAGTAGGGTAACCATGGTTATAACCTTTTTTGGGGCACTTATACCCGTATAAGTACTCAAGAACCTTCAAGAAGTCGCAAAAACTCCTGCGTGCCCAAGCCGAGTCCAAAAACAGCTAGTGCTGGTGACTGTGCTCCACTCCCCCCCCACCCCCCTTACTGGCTGGTCCCCCCCCCCCCCCTCCCCCCCTCCCCCTCCCCCCTCCCCCCCCTCCCCCCTCCCCCCCCCCCTCCCCCCCCCCTCCCCCCCCGCCCCCCCCCCCCCCCCCTCCCTCCTCCCCCCCCCCCCTCCCCCCCCCCCCCCCCTCCCCCTCCCCCCCCTCCCCCACCTCAACCCTAAACCCTAAAGCCTAACCGGAATCCCCGAAGTCTTATGTGCTGACCAAGAACCAGGTGCCTTTGTGCGCAGTGAATGAGTGCATTCTGTCGGACCTGCATTGCCCGACTGCTTAGTTTTTGCACGACCTCCTCGCCTTGGCTTCCCCCTGCCTGAGGATGTAGGGGTTTACCTTAAACCCTCAAACCCTACCCTAAACCCTAAACCCTAAACCCTAAACCCTAAACCCTAAACCCTAAACCCTAAACCCTAAACCCTAAACCCTAAACCCTAAACCCTAAACCCTAAACCCTAAACCCTAAAAACCCTAAACCCTAACCCTAAACCCTAAACCCTAAACCCTAAACCTACACCCTACACCCTAACCCTAAACCCTAAACCCTAAACCCAAAACCCTAAACTGGGTATGCGACTTGGAACACGGCAGGTCAACGTCTTCCGCAACAACATTGTCCTCTGCAGCTTCGTGGGTTGTTGGCAACCTCCGGGGGCTGGGGGTTGTAGTTGGCTTTAGGGTTTAGGGTTTAGGGTTTGGGGTTTGGGGTTTAGGGTATAGGGTTTAGGGTTAGGGGTTTGGGGTTTGGGGTTTGGGGTTTAGGGGTTTAGGGGTTGTATATACATATGGGGTCTTACGATATTTACGATATTAGGGGTACCTTATTGGGGTCCTTCTTAAACGGGAATCCTACTATTTGGGCTCTTTATTGATTAGGGGTCACGTGTTTTGCGTAAACCCCCAGATCCTGAATAGGGTTACCTTATTTTGGGAATCCTATACTGATGATTATATCGTTTTGGGGGAGTATCTTAGGGGTACCCGAACTTTGGGAAATACCCATATCCATGTTCATCATTGAGGAGCCCGACGCTAACCCCACAACACGGTATTCAATATTTGGGTTCAGGAGGATGAAACATACTACCGACGACCGGTATATTAAGTTGCGTTTTGTTTAGCCTGTGTAAAGTAGTGAGAAAGCCGCTACAAGTTGATGTGCAGACTGCACTGTGCTACGAACTACCCAGTTCTCCAGGTTTTCCTCACTATCACTACAAATTACTAGACTTTCAAACGGTGTTTTGTGTGGACCGTATCCTCAACTGGTCCGCAGCTACTGGGTCGAGATTTTTGCAGTACCAACCTGTCTGTTCGAATCGTTCTCCCAATAGCCCTTCGATGTTTTTTGCAACTCATGATCTTCTGCTTTTTGAGAACTCCTCAGTACACATGTCTTGATGCTTCTTACAGCTGTTACACGCTCTTCCTTCTTCTCTTGAGGTTGCTGGTTTCGCTGCATTTGTTCCGTTCGAGCTCCAGGTCCAGTACCGGCCATTCTCTCACAAGTGCCATGACAAACCCAGAGTAGGCCCTTACTCCCCCATTTTTCAGGGTTTGGATTCCCTTATCAGCCCCTTTAAATCAAAAACGGTACCTTGTTTATTCTGAGTTTACTCTATGGCGTAGCTGCAAACGTCCGTGGAGATCCTCCAGATCTGAACGCCCAAAGCTGGTTCCAGTGGGTGTTCGATGGAAGGGTCGCTGGCAAGGTTGCCGTGGACGCCTGCATCTACCAAGAACAGAAACATGTCATAGCCAGAAGAAGATATGACGAAACTCCAACAGACATAGAGCAGTCTGGTCAACTCTTCCTGTGCTTCAGCACCACCGAACACTTAGGTACCATTTTGAAACATGATCGCCTAAGATACGTCTATGCGGCAACACACTGTTGCTGGAAGAATTTTTCAACGCAGCAGGTAGTATAGAGAATGATGAAACGCACAATACAGAGACAGTGACAGGACGTTTTGCACGAAGTCAGAGCAGTGCTGAACAAGTAAGCGAACCGAATGAGAAGAACACTGATTGTGAATATGATCTTGCACCATGTACGTATTGAAGCAAGAAACGAGATCATTCCACATCATCACTTGGTTTTAAGCCGTTAGGCTGATGTGTAGCAGAGACTTGTGCCAATACGGCCAGTCTGCTCCTCAACTAAGAGTGAATGAAAGCGCCACGCAACAGCTTTCAGAACGTACGCTCTAAACCCTTACTAAACCCTAAACTCTAAACCCTAAAGTCCAAAAGCTGTGTTGTAAAGGCACACGGGTCAGACCATACGTTACAGGAAGGTGCAGCCTACCTGGGAGGTTCAATGCGCACGTATAAGTATAGGGTCACAAGGAGGGTAACTATGGTTGTAACCGTGTTTAGGTACTTTCATGAATCTTCAAGAGGAGTACAGCCGTTCATGTCGTGATTGTTTCTAGTGTGACAAGCAGCCGACGCGCCCAGGGCTCCGAGAAATGCCCAACTTGGCCGGGACTTATCCTTCATCCTGGAAGGACTGCTTGCTTGAAGGTTCATGGGCACTTTTTATTTAGTTTGGGCTATATAACCCTGAATAAGGATATGACCACACTTAATGTTGGACCCTGTTTAGCAGGGGCCTCCCCTATAAAGTCAATTTGGCCGTGTTATTCAGGACATCCTGACTGTTTGGGAGTCCCTGTTTAAAGTCAAATCGTCCGGGCGCAG